TAGACCCTTCTTCAGAAATTTCTGAAGAAGGGTCTAGGCCCGAAACGTCAGCCTTCCTGCTCCTCTGATGCTGCTTGGCCTGCTGTGTTCATCCAGCTCTACACCTTGTTATCTCTTGAATTCATAGGACATTGACATCAGCATTTGGGAAGGAGGGAGCTGTTTCAATGGGATGGGCTCCGTCTGAATCATGCTGGGACCAGAGTCCTGGTGAATCGCATAAATGGGGCTGTGGACAGGATTTTAATCTAATAGTGACGGGGTAGGTTCAGTCGCATAGAAAGTTATGGATAAAGTTAAAGTGAGGAGAGAGCTCAGCAGAGGTTATTAAATTTTCCAGAACAAGACACAGGACAGAGAGCATGAAAAGGCTCCGGAATCTAACTTCAGGCACAGCCGATAACGGGCCAACTATGAGCTGGGGGCAATGAATGCAGGACTGAAGTGGTTTACTTGAATGCATGCAGTATACGAAACAAGGTAAATAAGCTTGTAGCACAAATTGAAATGGCAAGTATGAAGTTGTGGCTGCAAGGGGATCAGAGCTGGGGACTAAATATCCAAGGATATACGTCCTATCAAAAGACATAGGGATGGCACTGTGGCACAATGGTTAGTGCTGCTGCCTCACAGCACCAGGGACCTAGGTTCAATTTCTGCCTTGGGTGACTGCCTGTGTGGAGTCTGCACATTCTTCCAGTGTCTGTCAGTACAATGGTTTCCTCCCACAGTGCACAGATGTGCAGTTTAGGTGGATTGGTTAGCCTAAATTGTGCATGGTATCTAGGGATGGGCAGGCTAGGTGGATTATCCATGATAAATTCAGGGTTACAGGGATAGGGTAGGGAGGTGGATCGGTGCAGACTTGCTGGGCTGAATGGCCTCTATCTGTACTGTAGGGATTCAATGATTCTATGACAGGCAGATGGGTAGAGGGGACAGGGTTGCCTTGACAATAAGCAATGAAATTAAATTGATATCTAGGAGTGGTATAGAGTCGGAAGGTGTAGTAACTGTGCGGGTAGAGTTGAGGAACCACAGAGGAGAAAAGACCCTGATGGGATTTGTGTACAGGCCTCCTGGCTGTAGTCAGGATGTAGGGAAGACACCAGCAACATACCAGAACTTCAGGAGTATCAGGGAGCAGAGGTGAGTGTAGTGGTCATTACTAAGGAGAAGGTGCTGGGGAAGCTGAAAGGTCTGCATGTAGATAAATCACTCAAAACGGGTGGCCTACCCCCCGGGGTTCTGAAGGATATAGCCGAGGAGTTGATAGTGACATTGGTGGTGATCTTTCAGGAATCAGTGGAGTCAGGGAACATTCCAGAGGATTAGAAAATGCCAACATAACATCCCTTGTTTCGGAAGTTAGGGTGGCAGACGACGGGAAACTGTCGGCCATTAGCCTGACCTCAGCCTTTGGTAAGATTTTACAGACCATTATTAAGGATGAGATTGCAGAGTGTTTGGAAGTGCACGGCAAAATAGGATGAGACAGCACAGTTTTGGCAACAGGAGGTCATGCCTGACCAATCTGTCGGAGTTCTTTGAGGAGTAACAAACTAGTCAGACAAAGGAGAGCCAGTAGGCATGATCTATTTGGATTTCGAGAAGACATTTGCAAAGGTGCTGCACAGAAGGCTGCCAAATAAGAAAAGAGACCATGGTGTTAAGGGTAAGGTGGAGGATCAGCTGACTGACACAAGGCACAGAGTGGGATAAAGGGGTCTTTTTCAGGACGGTAGCCGGTAACCAGCAGAGCTCCACAGGGTCAGTGTTGGGACCACACTATTCATGTTATACATTAATGATCTGAGGGCTTTGTTAAAAAGGTAGGTGAAGGGGCAGGTGGTGTTGAGGAAGTGGGGAGGCTGCAGAAGGACTTGCACCGGCTAGGAGAGTGGGCAAAAAAGTGGCAGGTGGAGTACAATACGGAATGTGGGAGGTTATGCACTTTGTTAGGAAGAATAGAGGTGCAGAATATTTTCTAAATGGGGAAAGGTTTCGAAAATCTGAAGGACAAAGTGACTTGGGAGTCCTAGTTCAGGATTTTCTTAAGGTTATCATGTGGGTTGAGTCGGCAGTTAGGAAGGCAAAGGCAATGTTGCCATTCATTTCAAAAGGGCTAGAATTGTACTGCTGAGGCTGTAAAAGGTTCTGGTCAGACTGTATTCAAAACATAGTGAGGAAATTTGGGCCCCATATCTAAGGAAGGATATGCTGAGATTGGAGGGTGTCCAGAGGAAGTTTACAATAATGATTCCAGAGGTGAAGTGCTTCTCACATGAGGATCGGTTGAGGACTCTGGGTCTGTACTCGATGGAGTTTAGAAGGATGAGGGGGTATGTGATTGAAACTTACAGAATGCTGTGAAGCCTGGATAGAGTGGATGTAAGGAAGATGTTTCCACTAGGAGGAGAGGCTAGGTCCCGAGGGAACAGCCTCAGAGTGAAGGGACAACTCTTTAGAACTGAGATGAGAAGGAATTTCTACAACCAGAGCGTGGTTCATCTATAATACTCATTGCTGCAGAGAGTTATGAAGGCCAAGCCATTGAGTGTATTTAAGACAGAGGTAGACAGTTTCTTGATTGGTAAGTGGATCAGGGTTATGGGGAGAAGTCAGGAGAATGGGGTTGAAAAACATATCAGCCATGATCGAATGATGGAGTAGACTCAATGGGTCGAATGGCCTAATTCTGCTCCTATGTGTTGTGATCTTACCCCAATACTTCCTGCAGTCATGTCTATTCAGGGATCTGGCAATGAATGTCAGGATAGGTCTGAATGTTAACCCGGTAGTGGTCATTGCTCGTGCTAGCCTCAGATTGCCAGCACTATCTGGTCTGGGTTTCATTGGGGACTTGATTGCATGGCAGAATTGACATTGTCCAAGTAAGTGCTTGATCATCTCATAACAGTGTCAGATCTCCAGGAGAAAAATGGCGTAAGGTTCCCACCAGGTTTTCTAATTGGTGCATGGGATTCCTATTGCACATATTAAATTTTGCCTATACCTGCATACATATTATATGTATATATATTATCAACAGATACATAATTCCAACTATAGGAATGCTAAATATAATATGGCATTTGTACATTTTTAAACAAGGTTTAACTTGCCTATTTCACACTACACACACCTTATATTCAGTACTGACACAGCACAGTATTAACTGCGCCTTATCTAATTTATACTGCTTCACACTTATACATTAAAACAGATGGGAGCGCACATACCAAATCCTCACATATCCGCTGGCGTTTCTTTATCTCTTCCTCATGGCTCTCACATTCTTTCCGTTTTTTACATAATTCTGTTCCCTGAGGAGAACAAACAAATCCTGGTTGGGGCCATTTAACATTAATCATTATTTTAATCAACCTCTTCAGACATGTTATGACACACTTCCAGTGCAGGTAGCACCTAAACCTGGACGTTCTGCCCCAGGAGTCAGGACACTATCATGGTAGTCCAAGGCCCTTCCATTTCACAATGCTAATTGGACAAAAGTCCAGGAGGTAGCAGAGATGTTTTCTTTACATTTGCAATTGACATCTTTAAGCAATAAGCAACAATTATCTTTTTTGTGATGAAGATAATTAGGTCTTTTGGATGGCTCTTAGATAGAAGTCAGTGTGCCAACTTCTTCCTGAAGCTGTCTGGCTAAGAGAAAGAGAGCATGTCTCTGCAGTGAGACAGTGAAGATTCTAACTGTTGATCTACTTGTAAAACTTGGTTTCAGACTCTGAACATGGTTCTGGGTTTTAGACACATGCCACACACCAGCAATCAAAATAAATGCATAACTTCACAACAAGTGGAAACATTCAATTTTAAAAAAGTATATTTTAGAAATGCCTAAACATCATGATTAACACCCACATTCTGATCTAAATCTTGACAGAAGGAGCTACTATTGTATGCGTAACCGTGACACATTTGGGAAGGTCTTCCAAAAACAGTGATCTAGATATTTCCTTATTTAACTCTCCATCTGTGTTCGATCCTATGTGCTCAACCATGTGAGACTTTCACCCATTGTGTGGGAACAGCATACTTTGTCATATTAATGTCACCCCACTCCGCAAATACTTTATTTATCCACCACACATTTTATGAAGCAACATCTGAGATGGGAACTAGTTACAATGCACATTAGAAAGAAAATGCTCAGTACTTGCTTTTTTTTTAGAATCCCTACAGTGTGAAAGCGGGCCATTCCGCCCAACAAGTCCACACCAACCCTCCCAACAGGATCCCACCCAGACTCAATCCCCTACTCTATTCCTGTAACCCTGCAATTCCCATGGCTAATCCACCTAACTTACACATCCTAGGACACCACAAGCAATTTAGCATGGCCAATCCACCTAATCTGCACATCTTTGGATTGTGGGAGGAAACCAGAGCAGCCGGAGGAAACCCACACAGACAGTCACCCGAGGCAGGAATTGAACCTGGTTCCTGTTGCTGTGAGGCAGCAGTGTTAACCACTGAGCCACCATGCCACCCAATAGTATTCCAATAGCTCAGAGACATTATGAAGCATACTTTTGTTATAGATTACCCAAACAACAAACTGGGTTTAAGAAATCGAAAAAGAAGCTGATTGTTGGAATTATCAGTGATTTGATTTGAATCATTGTTTCAACACCATCTTGCTCATAGAAATGCTTCATTGACCTGATTCAGGCTCTAGTTCCTGAAACCTTTGCCAGCACTATCTTCCCAATATAATTCAGCAGAATTTACCATCCAGTTTGCCCCTCAAACAGCAGGAAAGATATCACGGGGTGCCTATCGAGAATTTCAGCAATGTCTCTGAAACCTGTTCTGGATTTAGGACAATGAATTATACATTCAGAATAAATACATCAGCAGTTCAAAGGCTGGATCATGTTTCCAATGAATCTGTTCTTAAGTGAAAACAAGTTTGGTCTGATTGTTTATCTTTCGTAATTGTGGTGAAATCAAGTGTGGTCAAGCATAAATCATTTTGACTGGGATTGTCAGAAACAATCCAGAGCTGGAATAATATAAATTAGATTACATGAAACGAGTGAAGCACTGGAATCTGAAGAAAGAACTCCAGAAACTGTACATTTTCTTTTAACAAATCTTCACACACTGTACATATCCAATGAAATATACTCGAAAGGACAATTTTCAATGACCATACTGAAACCTGACTGTCAAGACTGCGCAACATGTCTGTAACCTTGCTCCTCGTCAGGCACTGGGCTCTAATTGCAACCTAAGTAACTATTTTCTGAAATGGGTAGAAGAATAATTGAGAACAAACAAGAGAGAAAATAACCAATACTACCACACTCAGGACAATCTCATGAATACTGAATTCATTTGATGAACTTTTCCCCATGCAAAGGAGCTCAATATACATCAAATGTATTTCCCAGCTATCGAGAAAAAGGCACCGAATTCCATATGGAGATGTCTGATCAATCGGCTCTTAACAGTTAACTCAGCACCAACTTCCAATCAACTTGACCTGTGACCACCCCATTCTACGCACAAATTCTCAGAGTAGCCAAGTCCAAGTGGCCAGTAGGTACACTGAGACAATTAGATATATACTTCAGTACGCAACTGAGTGTAATGTCAACAATGTGTACCAGTTTTCCAGTAAATAGCCTTCAACAGATCTAAGGAGCAAGAAAATAAGGTTACCAGAAAATTTACCGTGGAAATTATTGCATTTTAAGAGAACTTGGGTAAATGCAGTAGCAACAACATCAAAATTCCGGCTTGATTTTAAAACTGGAATGGGAGATGGAAGCAACATAGCCTCATGGATCTACACCATTGCAAATTTAGTCTTTTCTTTCCCTTCTGAGATAACGTTTGTAGACATGTTTTGCTACTGGAAGCAAAAGTCTGTGGAATCCCTTTTTTTTAAATGCCTGCAAGTGTGGAATGGGTCTACTTCAAGCTTTATGCCTGAGCTTCTTCTTAAAGTCTTGTAATGTCAGTCTCCTCCAAACTGAACTTACCAGCTGCCTAACACACTTGCAGTTGCAACCTATACCTGACACCTGAGTTTGTGCAATGGATCTACTTGCCTCTGAGGTTCTGCTGAATTCTGTTGTCACTTGCAATGGTAACCCTGGATGTGCGGATGATATTCCAACTGTGGGCTGTCAAATAATTGAAAAATAAGTTGTCATTACATGGGCCAGTCTCCTTGCAACAAACTTAGTTTGTAAAACAGACAATAATTGTTTTGATCACTCAAGCACATGCTCACATAAGGCTGAAAAGTTTTCTTAATAAGTGCTTCAGAACAAAAGCAAAATATTGGGAAATCTGAAGTAAAAATAGAAACTGCCAGAAATACTCAGCAGGTCAGATAGTATCTATGGAAAGTTCTTTTTAATTCATGCATGGGATGTGAGTATCAATGGTTAGGTCAGCATTTATGACCCATCCCTAATTGCCCAGAGGGCAACTCAGAGTCAATTGCATTGCTGTGGGTCTGGAGTCACATGTAGACCAGACCAGGTAAGGATGGCAGATTTACTAAAGAACATTAGTGTACCAGATGGGTTTTTACAACAACTGGCAGTTGTTACATAGCTGTCATCAAGCTAGCTTGTTATTCCAGATTTTTACTGAATTCAAATTTCGTCATGTGCCATGGTGGGTTGTGAACTCATGTCCTTTGAACATTAGAGATTCTGGAGTGCATGTCTAGTACATTAGCACTTAAAATTTATTGTAGGAGCTTCAGGAGAAATGGGTGCGGAACTAGTGGGTAAGATCACATTTGTAGACTTTAGAAACAAAAGCAGAGTTGGAGATAAGGAGATAGTGGAGGATTTATAATGTCAAGGTTTTTGTGTGTACAGGGGATGATGATGGATGTTTGAAGGGAGATGTCGTGGTACCAATGAAATGGAGAAGTATTAACTGTGGCAGCTCAGATGGGGCCCAGCAATGAGAACTTAATGGACATGTACTTAATGGAAAGTACACAGAAAAAGGGGAAAATTGGTCTCATTCTTGAGATCTGATGAGTTTGGACTAAGCAAAAGGAGGGACGGGTGAGAAAATATAAAGGAACACAGTTATATACGATCACAGGCCTGAAGCATCAACTCTGCTTCTCTGTCCACAGATGCTGCTATATTTTCTGATTATTCCCAGTATTTTTGGCTTTATTAAAATGCAAAGGGACAAGGATCCTTGATTACAGTGAATGTAATTCTTACATTTAGTGCTTGAGATGAGATTGGAAATGGAATCAGTGTTAAAGGATATCTTGGCCATGGAAAACATAGAAACATAGAAAACAGGAGCAGGAGTAGGCCATTTGGCCCTTCAATCCAGCTCCAGCATTCAATATGATCATAGTTGATCATCCAACTCAGTCCCATGTTCCACCTTCTCCCCAGACCTGAGGTTTGGGTTCTCTCAGGACGGAGCCTGATGGCAGTCTCCAGTTTGTAAATGCGTTTCATTTGTCAGTCTGTTCGCAAGTTAGTTTGTACGTAGGTCAGAACACAATGTGGGACAATATAAAATAACCTCTTGTAAATACAGGAAATGTTTATATGTTGTATCTTTAAACTGTCACCCAGTATGGGATTGTGTTTGTAGGTACGAGCATTCATAAGTCGGCTGGTCATAAATCAGCGATACCGTACACCCACCATTAAACAGAACCAGAAGGCAGGAGGATAATTTACTCAAAAAATTAAACATGTCATGAACTTACTGAGGACATATCACTATTCGTTGCAGACCCTAAGTGCAGAAAGGATGGCAAAGATGTTAAAAGAGGTTTTAGTAACTGTAGCTAGGGCAGCACAGTGGCTCAGTGGTCTGTACTGCTACCTCACAGCACCAGGGACCAGGGTTCAATTCTGTCCCCAGGTGACACTCTGTGTGGAGTTTGCGCATTCGCCCCGTGTCTACGTGGGTTTCCTCTAAATGCTCCGGTTTCCTCTCACAATCCAAAGATGTGCAGGTTAGCTGGACTGGCCACAGTGTCCAGGGAGATGTGCATAATAGGTGGATTAGCCCTGGGAAATGCAGGGTTACAGGGATAGGATAAGGAGTGTCAGTGTGGACTCAATGGGCTGAATAGCCTGCTTCCATACTGTAGGGATTCTATGATTCTGGTGATTGTAATGAGGTCAACCAGCTGGACCAGATACCTTTTTCCCAGGGCTGAAATGACTATTACGAGGGGTCATAATTTAAAGGTGATTGGAGGAAGGTATAGGAGAGACGTCAGAAGTAGGTTCTTCACACAGAGAGTGGTGGGCATTTGGAATGTGCTGCTGGTAGTGGAGTCAGATACTTTGGAGACTTTTAAGCGACTCTTGGATAGGCACACAGGGGATAGTACAATGCAGGGTAGTTTGATCTGAGTAGGATAATAGGTCAGCACAACATCATGGGCCTAAGGACCTGTACTGTGCTGTACTGTTCTATGTTCTATTAAGAGCCTCAATCAGGGAGCCCTAGCTGACAGATAAAAATGGGAGTATCAGATATTCTGAGAGCTGACTCTGAAAAGGCAGTGCTAAAGTCAAGGACTGTTCATGTGTAAATAAAGGATGACTTGGTGATAGGATACCGGCCTCTGTGGAGCTATTTCATTGAGGAGAGAGGATTCACAAAGGGGAGAAGGTACTGGCAGGGTAATAGAGACCACACTACAGCCACAGTGATTTGGATAGCAGTGCTTTGAATATCATTAAGGTTAATTGTAGTTTCTATTCTTTCTATTCAAATTACTGTGAAATAAAGGAACTTAATGATTTGCATCAGGCTGATCTCATCAAGTGTTTGTTTGGACCGTCTTCAAATAGATTTGAGAAGCGACTGCATAAAGCACACAAATATCCGTCAGAAGGGATAATATTATTGCACCACTCTGCTATGCTACCATGCAAATTGATACAAGATAGAGTTAGCTATTTTTCATAAAGTGAAGCATTTAGTATCCAATGCCACTGAACCTGTATATAACTCTACAGCAGATCCAAATTTGTAGTAGTGTATAAAGTATAGGATATGAAGGATAGGAATACATTAATATCTCAAGGTTTCACGTTTTTACAACCCTTATAAATTCTACAATGATGCTTATTCAGTGGAATACAAGGCTCAGGAGTCTGAACAGAGGGAAAAAGTGAAAAGGGCACGCATCCAGTATCTACTTTATCCATCACAATTCAGAAATCATACTTTATATTACAAGCAGCAATTTATTTTGTTCTGCCTGTGGTATGTGAAGGGAATTTATTGAGCTATTAGTCAGGAAAATATTTTTCCAAGATACAGTGAAAAGTACTTCACTTTCTTTCAGGAGATTGCCTAAAGAAATCTTGCAAAGTTTTCCTGTATTTATACCACCACTCCGAAATTATTATTCATGAAGTTTAAATTTAATTAATGTGTTACATGTAGGTATTGTCAAGGATTGGAGTCTATCATGTGTTGAATAAGCCAATCAAAGTAGAGGCAAAAAATGTGCATAGATTACAAAAGAATATGTATAATTATAATAAATTTGACCATGTTTGACTGGGCAATAGAAAGACACTGACACTGGAAATGTATGCATTTAACAAAAGACCTCTCACAAGATCTTAATAACATAGGAAATAGGAGCAGGAGTAGGCCTTTCAAGTCTCAAACTTGCTTTGCCAGTCAATAAGATCGTGGCTAATTTGACTTTCCATCCTGGACTTGCTGATCAGCTTTCTAACATGCCCTTAAACGTTTTGAATGATTCATCCTCTTCTGATCACTGGAAGAGAATTCCAAACATTAACAAGCCTGAGTAAGAAATTCCTCATCATCTCCATCTTAAATGGGAGACTAGCTATTTATAAACTGTGCCTCCCAGTTCTAGATTTTCCCGTGGGGAGAAGCATCTGCTTAACGTAAATTCTTTCAAACTCCCTCAGAATCTCACACCTTTCAATTACCGTGTACAATTCTATTCCCAAGTACTATTTAACATTCAATGGCTCATGGACTTTGCATAAGTAAGTCCAGAACAGCAATGCATGATTGAGCTATTCCACAAAATGAGAAGATAGTCTTGTATCTACTCTGTAATCAAGCAATGCTCCTTAACATCACCCCTGATGTGTTCCTCAGTCAGCATCTCTAAAATTTCCATTTTCCGTTCTTTTTGCCTATGACCTACAAAAGCCTTTGTCTACTTTCTCCAGTCTCCGATTGTGTAAGCAAACACCAGACAAAAGCACCTTCTCTGTAAACCATGCTGCTGCGTCAGCCAAAATCATCCGTTACTTTTCTCCCACTGACACATAATATTGCTACATGCCTCCTCTTGCTTTATTATACCAATCCTTCACGCAAATTCCATACCCTGTCAGTTTAATCTTCTAGTCAATGTTGTAGTTTAACCAGGTCCAATTCCAAGTACAGCTCACTTGCCTTCTAGACAAGCCTACTTCTAATCATTCAATCTTGTTCTGTGCACATACAGTATTCAGAATAATTAGTTGCTCTATTTCATTATGTTCTTTTACTTGGTGTACCATTCCATCTCATTTCTCTATAGTATTTACAGATGGGGACATATATCTGGGCCCAAACAGTAATTTTATTTGCCTCCCCATCTAATCATCTAAAATTTGTCCATAATCGCAGTCATGGTTTCTACTCCCATTTGTTTAATGTCTTGCCTCTTCCTGCATTTATCACCTGCCCAAACACTGGTTGCCATGACATAAATAAAAAATGCTGAGATACTCAGGATGTCAGACAGCATTTGCTGAGAAGAAAAAATCAATTAATGTTTCAAGGATTTATACTCCCTCAGAACGGAGTTAGAGATGAACAGCATTTAAAAAAGGAAGTGAACAAGAAAAAGGGGGATAGATGAAGGGAGAAAGGCAATGATTGCCCATATTGGACATTAAATAGGTTAACCTGCAAAGATTTGTGTGGGTGTAAAATTCAACAGTTTTACTCTTAAATTAATAATTCTAAGGTAGAGAAGACAAAGATAAAAGACCCCTCATTCCACTAAGATCAGGTAACAGAACATTGAGGATAGGGATCACCTCCCCTAGTTACAAAGTTATATCTTCAGGGAGGGTTATGTGGAGATCTATGTCCACAAATATCATTAGTCTTCCAGCGGTTC